GATAAAACCTAAAAGTCTGAGTATTATTCTTTGTGCAAACAGCTCTTGCAGGTTACCCCGGACTTAATAATTAAATAATAATAATAACCTTTCCTTTGAGCAGCTGTTCAGGCTACTAAATTCATCCCAGAAATAACAAGTGACAAGCGCCCAGTTAGCTCTTAGCATTTCTCAGCAGCTCTGCCTCCTTTTCGACTACCAGGACATTTAAACAATGGATAATCCGTATACAAACAAATTCATGCTTTTCTCCTCAACAGAGAGCGTCCCCTGATTCAACAACAGCGCCGTAAAATAAGAAGAATGGCGCCTAATTACAGAGTTAATAATACTGACTTTGTAATAGGTCACGTGAAGATTCATCAGCCAGATTAAGTGTTTACTGACAATTGACAGTGATAGCGGACATCATCATCACTATTCCAGTCAATCCTCTCCACACAGACAAGCATAAACACACTCGACTATCACTAAATCAAATTTAACACACGTTTGTAATGACACTAATTCAGTTTACAATAGGGTTCATTCGCTCGGTCAGCAGGTGGCAGTATCCTCTGGGGAGTAAACTGCAATTAAACGAACAGAAGAAGAAGAAAACCCCTGCACATGCACGGTACGGATCGGGTACTCAGATACTCTGACCTGTAACTATCGTAAAATGCTTCGACCGGTAGACACCTTTCGATAGGGTACCGATCGGGTTTCCGGTACGGAATCGGGTAGTGACAGTGACAGCAGCAGCCTATGAATTGGGACAGCCTTCGTCGCGTCGCTGTGACGTAATCTGCCTTAAAATGCGGCCTTTAAGGCTGCAGACCCTGAATTGGGATACAGACACGGAAACGTGCTGACAGTAAATGTTCCTCCTTCTCCAGTAACATCTCATATGATTTCAGGTCCCTGCTGTTCCCCAGCTGCCCTGTAGGTGGCCTGAGTGTGTTCCCACTGTTTCCAGTCACCCGACCCCTCCTCCATCAGCACAGCTGTTCCCTGCTTCTCCTCCTGCATATACAGAAAGTCTGAACACTTATTTTTATTCATATTTAATGAAAATAGTTCAGTCTCACCCAATCAAATGTTCAAACTGTAAATTTCTCTCATTTTAGGTTGGTTTCGGTTGGTTTCAGCTCTGCTCTCAGTCTTTACTGCAAAGGTGAAGGTAGAAAGTGTGACTGGATCTATAGACTGGAAACAGAAACTCACTGTGAATGTTTGCAGTATAAAGATTTATATTTTAAACAAAGTAATAAGTCTGGGTGTGGCTGTATTAGATGTAATAGATGTCTGTTCACACTGGCAGCTACAAGGTTTCATATTAACAATTGAGTTTTACAACCTCAGACCAGTTTTAAACTGGTCTGAGGTCAAACACACTGATGAGATTCAGAAGCTGCAATATGATTAACATTAAATTATAACCCTAACCCAGTGACTCACCCTATTCTTTCAATACAAAAACTATTCAAATTGAAGTGTTTACATGTGGATAATTCTGTTATCTAGATGTGAAAAAGTAATAAAAACGCTGATCTTCAGGGTTCATGATCTCCAAACTGGAACATGAGGTTTCAGTGTGTACAGTCAGATCTCTCAGCTGTAGCAGAAACAAGTCAGTTCAGTTGCTTTGTTTACACAACACAGCTGAAGGACATCAGAATTAAGAGGACAGTCTCATGCTTTGACTCCTCAATAATTCACAGTCTGCATTATGGGTTGCCATGGTGAATCACGGTGAAAAATAAACCCGCTTCAAAAACCTGAAATAAACCAGAGTTAAACCTGAAGTCAACTCCTGTCACTTACATACCGGCAGTTATGTGTCCAAAAAAATACTTTCTATTTGTTTTGAGTGACAGAAACATTCTTTCCTTCTTTATGGGATAATATCTGTGTTATTTAGAGAGGAGGTCAGAGGAGGATGGCAACTGTAATGGAAATGAAGCAAGAGAGTTTAAAGAAATGATTTTGTGTCCCTAGGAACTGAGAAGAAGAGGGCAAGTGTTGTTCATCAACTTGAAGGATGTTGTTAAATGAACTCGACTAATTTTTTCATTTGTTGCATAATATTTTTCTAGTTACCATAAATCTTGTGATACAATGATTTATTTTTGGTGGAGAAACTGATTATGAGTCATAACTTAATGCAGTGTTTGTGGTTTTTGAATCATGAGGTGGAATACAGATGACCTTTGTTTTTTTTTCCTTTCTTTGTTTTTCTTATGTGTGTGAGCAAGAAAAGAATCTGTGAAATGTCTAAAAGTCAAATTGATTAATGAGTTCAATCCAAATGAAACTAAAAAAACAATGTTTGCCTGAGAAAGACAGAAAATTTAAAACAACAGATGTGTTTCCTCACCTCTCACGCTCTACACAAACCACAAGGACCAAGAAAAAGGACCAGGAGATTCATCGCAACTGGACTCTGGTTGCACCTTAGAAAATTGAATCTGTTCACGTGGATGCAGTGTTTTCAGTGGAAGAAGGGTTTCTTCACTTATTCAGGTGACTTCTTCACTCTCTGGTTGTTTATGTTAGAAAACGTGTCTGTAATACAGGCTGAGGAGAAAAAGACTTGTCTGCAACATGGGAAAAACTTAGAGGGCATTGAGATTGTACAGTGGCTTCAAGCTGAGAGCAGGAACAGATAGAAATACATATGAATGAAGTATTGTTTTCTTTCATTGCAAAACTATTAGTAACTGCAGAAGAACGTTAGCTTGGAGATAAGTCTTTGTATCTGGGAGAAAAATGGTTTAAAAAATGAAAGAATGACCCTCAAACTGGAACATCAGGTTTCAGTGTTTACAGTCGGATCCTGGAGCGGAAACAAACTGAGAGCTTTTTCACAGTTTGTTTGTTTACACAGCACAGCGGAAGGACAGTCAGAGCAGTCACGAACTGTCAGTCATGAACTCTGATTCAAGTCAAGTTGAGATCAAGTCAAGCCTTATTCACAGTCTGCAACATAGGTGATGTACCTCAATGAAAACCTACCTGAAAACCTGAAAAAAATCAGAGTTCAACTTGAAGTCAGTTTTATAACATAAAATCATGCTTCTTATCACTCCTATATAACCATGTTTAGATAAAGATCGGTGTCAGTCTGACAGTCTGATCTGTTTCTTTATGGGATCATGTCTGAGGTCAGAGGAGGCTTTGTGAAGTCAAGTTGTTTCTGCTTCCTCAACCTGCTGGTTTGTGAGAAGTCAAATGGCAGACTTAATGAATTACTCCATGTTTCCGTGAGTTTATGCTAAATGGAAAGAAGGGGAGAAATGGTGAAAGGAGACCAGAGGTTAGCTTCACTTTTTATATTAAACTCTGTTGTTCAGGAATTTGAAGGGTGTAGTTAAATGAAGGTGACTGCTGCTTCTGCTGAGCTCCGCTCCCCTGTCCCCGCCTCCTTCCAGGCAACAGCTCACTGGTGTGTCCGTGTTTAGTTTCCAGGAGTGGAGTGGAGCTTGTTGTTGGTGTGTGTTTGAAGAAACTGTAAGTTTGCTTTGTTTCCTCCTTTAACAGTTTGTCTTTATGAGAATAATTTGTGCTTTGAAGCAAATATTTGCTTTGACAATTTAATTGCTTTATTTGTTTCCTCTTAACACTAAACTGAATATTTTCAGACTGATGACACTGTATTCAGCGATTCAATGATATTTAGTAACAGCTCTAGTTGGCTTTCACATTAATCATGAACTTAGAGATAATTAGTGTGCATTCATGAACTCTACTGAGTTCATGAATGCACATGAATGATTTGCGTTTCCTCTGCAGGTGAAGGTAGAAAGTGTGTGTGAGCTGATGTGAATTGAGCAGCATGGATCAGTGTGAGGACAGAGAGGAGGGAGTCCCTCCCTCTAAAAGCACTCTGTGTGGGGAACATGAGAGCCAGACCAAAGCTCAGAGGTGAGATGGCCATCTCTAACTGTCCATGACTCTTCTCCATGTCACAGCTCAGCACTCACATCACTGCTCCATCATTATTCACAGGAACCAACCTGGACCTCCACCCAGCTCTGTGTCCTTACAGAGTGACCAGTCTAAAAAACGCTTGATTGAATTCAAAGAACAACCCTCTGCTGCAGAGAGGTGAGCTGTTAGTAACATGAACTCTTTGATTTAACTGCTTGATGTTGTTGGATATAAACTGCCTTGCAAACACATCATTCCCTCAGTCCCATTTAAACTGTCTCTTAAAAACAAGCCTTTGGTTATTGAACAACTGAAGATCCACTTCAGCAAACAGGAAGCGAAACATGTAAAATTATTACATGAACTAAAGCAGTAAGTAACCAACTGAAAGGCATCTTTGTTGATGTCCCCCAAAGGGGTGAATACAAAACAAGGTTTATTAGATGAGAAAATGCTTCAAATCACAAATATTAATAACTTTAAGAATAAAAACAAAGTTTGCTTTGTATTTAAACACCACTCAAAGAAATGTGTTGAGTTTATATCTGGCGTGTATTCCCCTGCAGCGAGGTAATGTGTGTAAATGTTGTTGTGACTCAGTGTTTGTGAATAAATCCTCCATCATGTTTAAAGTCAGCTCAGCTCTTTTTCACACACATTTCTATGTTCATATGTGAAGTAGTGTGTGTTGGAGTGTTTCCACAAACACAGCAGTCAGTGTGTAAAGCAGGGGTCCCCAATCCCAGTCCATGAGGGCCGGTGTCCTGCAGGTTTTAGATCTCACCCTGTGTCAACACACCTTAATCATATGTTCATTCCCAGGCCTCTGAAGAACTTCAAGACATGTTGAGAAGGTAATTTATCCATTTAAATCAGCTGTGATGGATCAAGGACATCTAAAACCTGCAGGGACACCAGCCCTCGTGGACTGGGATTGGGGACCCCTGGTGTAAAGAATGGATGAATGGATGTTGTAGGAGGTGTTTCTGTAGTTTTTCTGTAGTGAAGAGGCTGAGTGCCTGCAGGATTCCAGCTGCTCCACCAGGTGTCTCCTTTGTGCTTTGCTTCAAACACAGTGTAGGGAGGAACTTCCACACTGTTGTAGAGTGAACATTAGTGATCCTGAAATATCGATTCCTCCGATACCAATCATTTATGTTCTAGAATCGATTCTCAAATTAAAATATCGATATTTTAGTAATTTAGCGTAAATTTGTAGTTTATCATTAACAGGAACACAGTTGAAAGAAACTATAACATCCGGATTGTCTACATTCAAAGGAACTACTTCCTCTTCCGCCTTTCATAGTCATGTGTGAAATACGGCTGTATAAATGTCTGGCCGCCCCCTGGCGCGCACTCACAACAATGGCTGAGCGTAATTGTGTGGACGTATTTTACCTCCACAAACAGCTGAGACGTGGTTTGCTATACATGTGGCAAAAAAGTGCTCCAAGAGTGAGGTGTTGTGGCCATACTAGGGAGACAGTCAAGAGGGCTGTTTGGGGGGGGCATTTCTGTACATTTTACAGGGTTTATTTATCGGATAAAATATGCTAAATATCACCATTATTATTGGCCGGCCCGGAAACAGCGGGGGTGTCCAAAGTCAGAGGCTGCTTCCACCTGAGGACCCGGCCTTCGCGGTCTAAAGAAAGCCGGGTAGTACGTCACAGGCTCCATCGGTGGAGTGAAACTCTGCCGTCTGCTCCTTGCTTTCTAAAATATAACCGGACACTGGCGTAAACTCTTCTGTTTAATTAGTTTTCTGTTTGATGTTTATTCAGCTTTGTGAAAACCCTGGAGGAACCCACCCGATGGATTAATAACGTTAAATTTAATTTAATCTAATCTAATAATTTTAATCTCAGCCAAACCGATTTGCTCACGAACAAATAAAACACTGAAAAAGCCAAACAATAACATTTTTAAGTTATCAAAGTGACTTATATATCATGTTTAACCTGAGTAGCGAAAGCCCGCGGGGGATTGAAAACGATGTGTCAGTTGGCTCAGATATTTGAAGTTTACACAGCTACATTCTCACCTGAAAATATGTTAAAAGGTTTTT